TTTTATGGCTTTTACTGTTCGCCCAACTGTACATGCATATTTGTCTGCAGTGGTACAAGAAGCTTCGAGGGGACGTATAGAAGAATATAATAATTACACATATAGTGCGTTCTATCTTACTGCGGCTTTTGTGTTTCAAGCCTTGGACAAACAAGGCAGAGTGTGGCACCACCCCCTTATCCCCCGCCTTGAGTTGTTAGGCCTCTTGCTTGGGTCCCCCTCTTCATATTTTTTTCTTTTTTGCTTCTCCACATTACTCTTCTCGGCGGCAATAAGAGGCAGCACACCGTCTCTGTGGTGCGAGCAGCCCGCTTCCGAAGGGGCGCCAGGAAGGAGCAGTGGGCGGGGGCGGAAGCAAAAAAGGATGTACGCCGATGGGCCGGCGCAGGAGCGGAAGAAACTCAAGGAGGCGGAGCGGCTGAAGCACAAGGCAGCTCGGTCTCAGGAGAAGAACCTACACGCATCTTTTTTGGCAAATGAAACTGTACGTGCGGCGAGGGAAATAAGTTCGTCGCCGCATTTCTCTCCACTTCTAAATCAGCCCGATGTTTTTGCGGTCTTGACGGATACGAGCGTGTCTGTGTCTGGCGGCGACGTGCAGCTGCCTGATCTTACCGAGGATTCTCTTAACGTACGTGGCATGGTGCCCGTCCGTTCCATCTCACCCTTCATCGAGTGTGAGGTGTCAACAACGCCCCTCATCGAAGTGAAGGTGTGCGGCACTACAGTGGATAATGGCGCAGCCGCGGCAGTGTCTGCAGCTGCAGCACAAGTAAGTGGCGGTCAAACTTCTTCGAGCTCCTCATTAATACTATCGACAAATTCTGTGGAGACTCTGGGATTGCTGCTAGAGTGTGTGAGTGCCGTGGATAACAATGCAGACAGCTCAATTATCTTAGAGAGCGAAGATAGGTTTGATACCGAGTTACAACTTCCTGAGAATGAAAGTTTTTCGATTAGCATGACTTCCGTCACATCGGAGGATCCACAGCTGCCGGAGCAGTGCCTCGAAGAGTTCAACACCGACTCGGACTTCGCCGTAGAGGAACGCACTCCACACAGCAGTGTTGGGGTGCCGCCAATTCTTGGTATCCCTCTCAGGGTCAATGACTGCTCACTTCCGCAAGCTGTGAAGGAGACTGGTAAAAGCGCTCCGCCCCGGCCTCACGTTGAAGGGGAAAACGACGAGAATAAACCTCGGCCGCAGAGCCGGGTTCTGCCTACTGTTCCTTTTCCTGTTACTACTACTTGCACTACTAGTACTGCCGCAGCTGTAGCTGCTGCTTCGATTCCCGAGGCCACGGCTCTCGCTAAACCGTCCGCTATGCTGGCGGCTCCAGCACCGGTAGCAGAGAAGAGCCGTACCGCACTCCGCTGCTATGACCGCTACGTGGAGCAGGGGCAGGCGAAGAGGCTTCAGCGAGAGGAGGCGGAACAGCAGATGCTTCGCAGGGAGGTGGAGGACACGCACTACACGCCGCAGTTGTCACGCTACGCGGAGCGAGCCGGCTCCCGCTCCATTTCAAAGTACATCGAGGACTCGATGGAGTGGGAGCGGCGGCGGCGGGAGCGCGTGAAGTACGCCGCCGCGCGTCTCGAGGCGGAGGAGCGGAGGGAGCTGCAGGCGGTGGTGGCTGTCAACGCCGCCTCACGGCGCATCGTGCGGGCGATGGAGGCCCAGCAGAGGCGTATCGGCGTGGTGGAGGACGCGGCCGCACGCTCGGCGCGGCGGCGGCAGCTACAGCAGAAGTATGAGCTGCCATTCAAACCGACCATCACACACCCGGCGGTACCGCAGAAGAATTCGGAGGGGGCAACGCCTCAAGCGAAGGGGAAGCCATCTGCACGCGGCCTCTATGATCGCCTTATGCGTTACCGCGAGGCGGGTGAGAAGAAGCTGGAGACACTCCGCCAGCAGGAGGCGCAGCAGCAGGTGCCGCATCCGATACCGAAGCGCACGTCGGCCGAGATCAACGTCCACGTCAGCGCCATGTGGGAGCGCGAAGAGCAGCGGCGCTTGCGGCTGCAGCGGCAGGCGGGGCAGAAACGCCGGGAGGAGGAGGAGGAGAAGGCGCGGACAATGCAGCCGCGCATTGACGCGCGATCGGCGAAGCTTGCAGAGCGTTCCCGCCGGCGGAAACGTATCGAAGCCGCGTCCCATAGCCCTTCTTCTTCATTCCCACTGCCGCAAGGACGAGAAGAGCAGCCGCAGCGCCAAGACGGTGAGGAAGAAGCGGTGGCGGCGCATGGTGGGGAGAGCAGTCCTCACCCAAAGCCTCACACCGTGCCAACAAGCCGCAAGTTGGCGTTCTCTTCTTCCAATTCTCGCAACGACAGTCGCATGCGTGTGTCGTGCGGCCCGCGGCCCCCCACCGTTCCTGTCGTCTCGCCGGACTTCGAGGAGCGCAGCGCGCGGCTGCTGCAGAAGCGGCTGCAACGCGCCGAGTCGCTACGCCACGAGGTGGAGGAGGAGCTTGCGCGTGCCTGTACGTTCAAACCCCACACAAACCCCGCGTCGCGACGCATGGCGGAAGCGCATTACCGCAAGTGCGCAGCAAGCACCGGTGGGGCGGAGCCGTTGCGCCGGAATCCGCAGACGCCGCCGTTTGACGCCCCTCACGCTACCAGCAGCGTTGAGGATGACTTGAAATGGGCAGACCACGTGCGGGGCACGAAGCGGACGGTGCGGCAGGCAGAGAGCTTCTCACACGTGTCTAGTGCTGAGCAGCAAGTGGACGACGCCGACAACATGGCGGCGCAGATTGAGAGCCTCGAGGCCGTGCTGGCGCAGTGGAAGCAGCTGGAGGCGGAGTATCGTGTTTGAGGTGAGTCGAGTTGCCACTTCTACTACTTCATCGGAGAAAATCTGTACAACAAGTCTGTCCTAGTGGTATTTGTGTGTTTTTTTTGTTCAGGAGCGTTTTGTGGTTTTTCAAGGGGCGACTTGCAATACCTCTTTCTCCCTTGCGTTTGCCCGTGCTTCATTATTTTTTTTTCCTTCTTGGCTTCGGAGTAACTGCTGTCATTCTCTTTGCTCCTCTTTGCGCTCTTCGCCGCGGTCTCTGCGAGATCTATGGTATCGGTCCGACATGAGTAGAAATGGTTCTTACGGCCGCCCGCACTGGGCTGCTGCTGCTGCTGCTGCCGCTCTTGTGCTGCTTTGCCTGACGTTGACCGCCAGCGCTGCGTCTGCGGCTGTGGCTGCTGGTGACGCGGCGGCCCCGTGCGGCACGGCAGCAGCAGAGGTGCACCGCTGGGGGTTTCGTGGCGCCGGCTACCACATGCAGCTCGAGGTGGAGTTTCCTCTCCTCTTTGACGGGGTGCGTGTGTCACTGGACCTTCCGCGCGCCTTCTTCTTTGACGCGGCGGAGGTGGAGCAGCTGTACAGCATGTCCGCGGTGGGCAGCGGCGCCGACATCAGGGCGCAGTACGCCCGACTTCACATCGCCTCTACGTTTGTGTTTGACATCGAGGCGCCCGCTTTCCGCACCCCGTATGACACGAACAGCGTGAATATCACGTTTGCACGGCTCCCCACTGCGGCACCAGGCCGCGTCGGGAAGGGCGTGCTGCTGCTGCCGATTCACGCACGCTACGAGGAGGCGGACGCAACAACTCCGTTTTCCCTCGAGGCATTCTTCAACCGGCAGTCGAATGTGCGGCGCTGCATCCCCGCGATTGCCGTGCAGGGCACTTCCAGCGCCAGCGCGAACTGCAGCGTCTCGGAGGCCACGATGGAGCGGCACGACGGCACTGCGACGGCCGAAATGATGGCGCCGCCCAACTGCCAGCTCATTCCTGTCGGCGTGCTGTCGTCACTGCCTTTTGTGTACGCCGCGCTGATGACGCTGCAATGCGTCGGCGCCGCCGTTGTGGTGGTCTCGCTGGTGCGGGCGTGACGCGCCAGCAGCAATGCTGCACCGCCGTCGACACCGTTGCCCCCCCGAAGTTGGGGGCGGAATGACGGCTAGGAAACCGAAGAGAATGGAGTAAAGAGCGTCTTCAAAATACATATCTCATTCTCTCTTTCTCTCTTCCCACTATTTCACGCCTCTTCGTGTAGCTCCGACTGCTTCGATTTGTCTCACTCTCTCACTATGGGCGCCCGCCAGCCTCATCGCTGTGTCTCTCTTCTTTTATTATTATTATTATTATTTTTTTTGCGTTCCCTCGTGTCCGCTGCCATGCGCGTGTGTCAGACTGCGAGTAGCTGAGCGTCTGGGAGTGGAGGCACACAAATGGTACGCACCTTTTGCCATGTGGCTGACCACAAGGCGACCAACGCCTGTCTGCCGCCATCGATGCTGTACAACAACCTCAACTTCATCGAGGAGAGCAGTCTGCTGGTGTACGCGTCACGGAAGGACTGCGCTGTGATGAACACGCTCACGCACAAGACAAATGTTTTGCCGATTGGCTCTGCCGAGAAGGAGATGATCGTGCACTGCACCGCCACCGCCGCGCCGCCCGGCCCGCTGCTCCCCGACGGTGGACCGCTGTTCCTCGTCACAATGGAGTCCTCAACGCAGCTGTGGGCGGAGGCGGCGCCGCTTGGCCTCGTGCCGCACAATGAGCCGAACGGCAGTGGCTCCTGCGGCGCCCTGCACGTCTCGCCTGCCGGTGTCGTGCAGGTCGTCATCGGCACTAGCAACGGCGTCGTGATTTTCGCCGAGTGCGACGGCGCGGCGAGCCC